AAGGCTTATTCATTCTAGTGAATCAGCCCATTCCGGATGAACAGCCGCCTTTCTTCCTACATTGTTTGCTCTTCATTGCTTATCTCCCACGTCTGAGTTTTGTATTTTGTACCTCCCCTCCATGTTTAGAATCGCTTTTCGTGCTTTTTTCCCGTTTTTGTTCCATTTGTATCACAGCGGTTTCTTGATATCGTGTATGGTGAATCCCAATTCAATATTGGTTTCCATCACATTTGTGCCGGTTTAGACATTGATTATGAAGCGTACTTGAACTGAGAGATAAAACATTTCCTACTTCGATAGTGACCTTTGTTAGGGTATTTGCCTTTCATGTCGTTTTGGAATATCTTTTTTCATTTGTCGCAGCCTCTTGTTTTTAAACAGAATGGTAAAGCAAGCAACCAAAGGCCAGAAGGAGATTTATGAAGATAATCGAAGTACTATTTTGACGTTTGGAGCAACGTGCTTGATAGTTGTGGTGGGTAGTATTTTTTTGAGAAAATGATTCACTTGTTCTATTTCCGTACATTTGAATATTTCAGGTAGTTCATTTAGCAAGTTGCTTTTTATTCTTAGAATGCACCTCAAACACTTACATTTTCTTCGCTATCTCTCTTGTCGTTGACTTGATCGCATTAGCCTTTATGAAGAGCATGGCAGGCAAGTAATTTCGCTGTGTTCTTAGAACTTTTCTATTATCAATTCATTGTCATAGGCGCACGATTTGATGAACGAGGACGTGTTATTGATGCCGGTATGGATTTGAATGATCCAGCTGCTTTCGGTGAATACTGTAAAGATGCAATTATTCTCACAACTATCGCCCAGGTATCCACAATTATCGTGATTATTTGTTGTTAAGTAATAGATTGCACCATAGTTCATTCAGTGGGTCCTTTTGCACTTAGAACAAGGTTGATCTTTTTAGATTATCGCCTTATACTCAACATACGCTTACTTGATCCTTCTTCTTATTCCAGCCACGGCAGCATACAAAGTTAGTTTTGTTATAGGGTTTTCTCTTTCTTAGTGATTTTTTTGAAGTGTTTCTTTGCATTTCCTCTCCATCCCTGCAACCACTTCAATGCAAATTATAGTAGTTTGAAAAAAGCATATCGTGCCTATCCGTTGTCTCCAACCGCATGTTAATTTCATTCCAATTTTTTTTTT